ACATTTCATCAGGTGTAAAGTTATGAAGACAGCGGTCGCAAATATATATTCAATGTTGATGTTTTGTTAGAGAACTTCTAACCAACCTAGATAAGTCTTTAATGTATACGTAGTGGTATTTTATATCATTATCATCACTATTATCACTATCTTAGATTTCTTTTAAATATTCTTCTCTATCTTCTTTTACCTTATCTTCGTCTATTGCCTCAGCATTAAAAAAACCTTTTCTATCTTCTTCTACCTCATTTTCAGCCATTTCCTCAGCATTAATAAAATCATCACGTTCTCCGTCAATATTTTTTTGTTTTTTCGATTTTCCCTCACTATACGTATCAAAATAATAATTTTGTATAAGCAGCAAATGAATATGTTTATCCTTTTTTTCTGCTGTCAAGTGAAGGGGTAAAAATGTATAACTATTTTTACTTTTCTCAAAAAAATACACATTAATAGACACATTATTCTGTTTTTCAAATTTTGTAACTTGCTTAGGCTTTACTGGAAAGATGATTTCCTTGGAACTATAACTCTTTTCATATTGAGTATAATTTGACACTCCTTGTGCATTTTTATTCACTGGATGTAAAGCTGTCAAATTGGACCATTTGAAGCATTCCTAATTTGCGTTCTGTACATTCACGCAAGCTTTTTTTTCTCGATTGTAAAAGGGAGTTCTATGTAAGCACCACAACTCATTGCAGTGTACTTATTTATATTTACTACTAAATTTAAAATTAAGCGTAAAGTCCAACCAGAATCGTGCTCCTGAAACTCTTCTATATCTTTAGAAAGAGGCTTCTGGACATTCGTTTTAAACCATTCATGTAGGTCTGTCGTATCAAAAATGGAATCAGATTAAGTATAAAGATATTTAACTTCAACAGTCTCTGTATTATTTTTTACTGTCAAAAACTTTGCTGCTAATATTGTAACAATTTTTTTCGCACTTTGAAAATGAATATTTTTTTCCGCAGACTTAAAAAATTTTATTATACTTTAATGCCTACAATTTGTTATAACAGCCGTTCTTATGCGATTTTTGAAAGCACTATTAGGATCTTTTCATGTCACAAAATTATAATCATCTTGATTGTCTTATTTTTCATCGAGCTCTGACCCTTGCACTTATAGAATTTCATAAAATGCTGCTTAAAACGTTGATAAAAGACACTTAATATTCAACAACTCATTTTCCACTGGCGATGACAATTTTACAGACATCTTATAGTCAGAAATACTTTTAAGCAATATTTCACTATTATCAATAAAATCTTGTATCTCGGTCATATTATTATTATGCAGCAAGCGTTGATATTCTATTCGCGCTATTTCACAGAAAATCACGTAACGCTCCACGGCGTTGGCGTTAGCAAAATTCTCACGGAGTTGCTCCATTATACTTACAGCTCGCGTTAACGTACTCAAATGAATGACGAGCAGCTTGAACTTTTCTTTTATACTGATTTACCTCTGCGAAAACGATACGAGTGATAACTAGTGGTGAATAGCAGTTGTATGTAAAGAGATAACACATCAATAGAGGGGTTAGTTAACTAATAATCGTCACAACGTTAAGATAACGAAGTACGTTGTTGATGTTCAAGGCTTCAGAACCATGCACAACGAATTCATTTTAAAGAGGTTGCTATCATACCTCTACATGAAAATGCTACACCATCAGTTTTTGTCTTTAAGCCCCCATATTATTGGGCACAGCTCTTACCTAAAAACAAATGTGAAAATCGATGGTTAGAGTTTCATGACCACGGTCTTCGTTGGAGCTCAAGACATGTGCCCTACGAGAATGTAGCTACGACCTTTCAAGCCATTATTAAAAAAGATGATGTTATTTACGTAAAAGGTCCTAAGAAATCGAATGGTTGCGTCGTGTGCTATTTAATAGGTACTAGGTACTCATAGTATAATTATACGCTTTACTAAATATTTGCATTATATAAATATTTTTATAGGTACATTTATGATATTAAGCAATGTCCAGTTTAAAAAAAATTAGTATGGATGATATCAATTGCATGAATCGCCAATTTAATTAAACTAAATGTGCTGTGAAAAATGCTACAGCTCTAAAAAAATTGATTTCAAAAGAGCAGCTAAGACATAACGATATTTTTTAATCAATGTAAACCTGATGAACAATACTTATGCAATAAATTTGTTCTTCATAAATCTATATCGATTTTTTCCATTCATGCCTCCTCATCACTGCGCCGATTAAAATTACTTTATCGTATTAACTGACTCTGTTCGTTGGTATGGTACTGCGGTGAAGAGGAGCAAGCCAAGCAATGTTGGGATACGCTTTCGGTTGTGAATTGGTATACATGTCTTCTGGCAACACGCATCACTCGATACGCCCACTCTTGAGAAAAAAATATGATGCTGGTACGTTATACGCCTAAATAAGAATCGAAGAGTTATTGGCCACGGCTAACACATCCGTATAGATAAGAAATAATAGCTCCATTACTTAGCAAGGTACTGCGTTGAGTAAGCCAACGTTGGTCACAGCTAAACGGGATACGCAATCCGCTACATCCACTGATAAGAAATACACGTTCATGCTTGATCATCTTCCTCTTGCTCTGTACGTTGGGCTTGTCACCTACACCTTTTGGATCCATCCTGATGACGTTGGAGCTCGATTCGCGGTAGGAAAGGAAGGGAGCCGTCAGTACCATCCGTCACAGGATCCAGAAGAGGCCCCCTTCCCCTGACGTTACCATTCAAGTAGTCCGCACCACCCACCATCCCTACTACCTATACCACCCATGCCCCTCCTTCCACCACCCGATCAGCCTCTCCCCCACCACCGCCTCTCCTCTACCGCCTGATCAGCCTCTTCCCCACCACCGCCTCTTCTCCATCCACAGCTATAGCTAGAGCCTCTTTATCCACCACCACCTCAGGGGGGGAGCTAGGGGGGTGCCAGAACCGCCATGGTTTACCTACTTAGAATGTAGTGCGGACAAAATGGCCTATTTGAAACATTGGTGATCGAAATCCCTTACATTAACGCAAGCTTTTTTTTAATAATAGAACTGGTTAGTTCTCTTATATGTAAGAACTACCATTTATAGCCTGATATTTATTTATGGTAACTACTTAATATAAAATAGAGCGCAGAATTCACTAGGAATCTTGTTCTTGGAATTCATTAATATCGGTAGCAATGGGTTTCTGAAAATTTTTTTCGAACCAATCATGCAAATCTTCCTATTTACAATCATGACAGTTCTTATACGATTCTGAAATGGATTATCAAGTTCTTCTCACACCACAGCTATATCATCGTCATTGTGGCTTGATGTAGTAACAAGACCATATCCTTGAATTTCCAATTTTTTTAAAAATGTTTTAAAAAAGTTGTTATGAGATACTTAATATTTGATAATTTTTGCTTAATATGCGACAAAAATTTTACAGATTCATAATAATTTTAAATGCTTTCAAGTACTATCACACTATTATCAACTATAACTCGAATCTTTAATATATTTTTACCATTCGACAGTCGTTGATGTTCTACTCACACTGTTTTACAAGACGTTAAAAAATTTTCTATACAGTCAGCATCAGCAGAACTATCTGAAAGTTGCTCCATGATGCAGACACCAATTGCTAACGTCTTCAAATAACTTCTACGGTGCTTTCACATATGTTTTTAGCTATTTGGTTACGTAGATAAAGGCGCTACCTTGATGCAGTGGGATAAGATACTATAATACACGTATATAAAAGGTTGTAAAAAAACATTAATATAAGTTGGCTGTTAGTTGTACTAGCTTGAAGATGTCTCAATAAGTGATTGACATTTAAGGTCTTAAGACTATATTTAACGAATTTAATTTTGAAGAGGTTGCAATTCTACCTTTAGAGGAAGAAAATTCTACACCAATATTATTTTTTTCAAACCCCCCCCCACCCTTTGAGTTAGCTAAGGCCTGAAGATAAGCGTGAAAATCGATGGTTAGAATGTAATTACCATGGTCTGCTTTGGGACTCTGGAGAAGTGCCCTATGAAGATATAATCGTCACTTTTCTCTGTATCATTAAACAAAATGACGTTATTTATGTCAAAGGACTTGAAAAACAAAATGGCTTGGTCAAGTGCTCCTCAATAGGTATAATTCATGAAATCAAATGAATAATAAATAAAAATTTAAAGGACTATCTTCCTCTTCGTATCTTTATTTAGAACTTTGAGGAGTGTTTGTCACTTCAACAATATTACATGATTTATGTGATATGTACAAATCATACATTTAAATCAGCTTATTATGCTGCGAAGAATGCTACAGCTATAAGAAATGTATATCAAAGAATAATAAGGCTGAACGGATAAGCTATCCTTGACATACAGATGATGTATAGTAGTTTAAAAAATAAAAAATTAATTAAAACAATTTTTCTTTCTCTCATATTCTTAAGTATTTCATCGATTATACAAGAAAATATATTTTTACAATAGGAGTACTGCTGCAGCAACACTACTGTAAGCATAAAACAATAAAAGCGTCAGAAAAAGAGCACGTATAAAGAATAAAAGCAGTGTTATTGGGATATTGGGACCCTTCGGACCAGTATTTACAAATATTTGTAACCTTATGAAAACTGTTTTGTTGTAAAAAAAGAACAGTCAATATTTGCTCGTGAATGACCAATTGAACAAGTTTGTCTCTAATACGCCGTAGACACATATACAAAGCTAAGATTATGGAAGTAAAAGCATAGTATACAAGACGAAGCGTAGTTATCAATTTTTTTTAGACCAAAAATTGTTCGTGGGACTGCTAGTTCTCTCCTGACTTTTTAACAGTGTGACTGCATTTTTTTTTCTGCCTGTTAAAACATAGTTGTAAGGTAGAGTTATATATTGCAAATTTTAAAAAGTAGTAAAATGAGGGATGATAAAAAATTTTCCTTTTTTTTACTAATAAAAAAAAAGAGAGTTATTGTTACCAATTTTGGAAAACAATATGTACCAGGAAAGTTGGCTAAAGTAAAACCAGATGAATACCCACCCATGTATATTCCATTCAAAAACCAAAAAAACTACAATAAATGGTAGTGATTCCAAAATATCAAAAATTGTGAGATACGGAATAATGAAACTGTAGAAGTAAAAAGTGAAAGTGACATTGACAGTGATAGTGATCTCAATATCAACAGTGGCAGTGATTTCAACAATAATAGTGATATTAATTTGAATATTGACAGTGATAGTGACACTACAGCTAGCCTAAATAAGAATGAAAGCAATGGTGTGTCTAATGATGTAGATTGCGTAAGTGATAAAAAATTTTTAATTAGGAAAAGAGATAATGATATTGACACTGAGAAAATCGTTGATGATTATGAGTTCGATCGTAAAACTGCTATTAGTGACGGAGATGGTGATAGAGACAGTGATATGAATACAAATGTTGTAAGCTTTGATAGTGACAGAAACGTTTTTATTAATGATGGAGATAGTGATAATAACATTTGTGACAGTAGGAGTAGAAGTCTGTTGTGGATAAACAAGATATTGATAAGAATAAATTTTTTTTAAAGTGGTTATAATAAAATACGATTCAGATTATGAAAATAGTTACAATTCAGTGTGTGACGAAGGTTTCTAGAATGTATTGACGCTGCTTGAAAAGAAAGAGGATAAAGACTTCTTAGGATTTTAAAATAACATTTATGAGGGCGGTTTATGTGACATGAGAAAAAAAGTAAATGGTTACAGGAAAAATGAAGTGACAAGATTTAATAGGTATAAAGTATGTAAAAGAAACTACGACATGCAGCATAAGACCGCTAAATACAAGTGGCGATTTTATAAAGAGTTGGGTGGATTATGTGCAATAAATGTCTTAGTATTATTTTTGAGTAATAATTATAAGCAATAATTGAATATAATTTAACATACAAGATTAATTAATTATGTATAGTTATAATGTAAGAAATGGTAAATGTAATAGTTATCATATGTAAATAATAGATGTAATAAATGATATAAAAAATTATAAATGTAAGAAATATCATATGTAATAAAGAATTTTAATCTTCACATTTTATGTTCAATGTTTTTATATACGACAACACAAAACATATTTAGAAAAGTTGATTTTTTCATCCACATCCTCGTTAAGAAACTTTACTCAGCTTTTTTAGGTAAGATGCTGATATTTGAGCACAAAAAACTAATTACCTGGCTGCCAGCATAGTGAGGAAAACTATAGAAGAGAGGGAGCGCGGATAAGCTTGCGCAATAGCACAGCTGAACTCTTACCGCTACTTAACTAAAACATTTATTGGGCTATGCAGAAAAGTGCATGATTTAACTAAACGCTTACTCGTCCTATTTCATCAACATCTACGTACATGATCACTCGGATTACCACGAGCACATACATGCGCGAAGATGCGTGTACATTACCATGCATGTAGGTAAGTGGTCCCATCCCAAACTAAGTTGAGGGAACAAGCCAACACTAGAAGAGGGAGGAGCGCGGATAAGCTCGTACAACAGCATGGCTGACCCACGACCACTTACCCGCCCGAGACTCCCCTTTTGCGGTAGCCACCCACTTCGGAGGGAGAGCCCCATACCCTCGTGCTACAGCTCCCCCTTCGTGGGCCAGATGCCTCATGCTACAGCTCCTCCCTAAAAGGAAGGCGGGAGGTAAGCCAGAATCATCCCAGTATATCTACTCTAGCTTCTTAGTTAAACACTAACATAGACACGTTAGAATCATTCGGATTGCGCTGGTTCCTCGATAAAGTTATAAAAAAGTTCTTAACTAAGTTGGCTACCAAGTGCAACCCTTGACATTTTCATAGTGTATATATTATACACACTTGTTTGTTGAGTCTCTTAATGTGAATTACATTTTTGTACAGGTATGATATGTTTCTGACACGAAGTTATCTGGTAATATCATTAATGTTGCTTAATTATGATTGCCTACTACCCACCACTTGCTTTAACGTAGTCCCCAGAAACCTTTTCTTTGATCCTTACAATGTTTTTTTTATATAAATACAGTTTTTACCTTTATGTCTGCACCCACGTTGGGTGGTATCAGAATAATTGACTCACACAAAAAAGAGACAAAATATACATTGATACTTGTTGGCTTAGACAAGGACAACTTTTGAGGCTTGACCATTGCGTACAGGAAGGCGTCATTGCTAAAGGCATACATAACTCTGTACCTATCGTTTTTTGATTGACTAATGAGAGCACTCATAATAATTTAATTCTTAGGTCAGTAATAAATAAAAAATGATTTTTGTTAAAAAAAAGACATATTTTGCTAAAAAATAGTTAATTTATGATAAAACAAATGATTTTTTTCCTCTAACGATTCAAAAAATTGAAAAGGTCGCACAGCACCAAAGGTGGCAGAAAACTTGTTGCAGTGTCTGATGCCTTTAAAACAGTTCAAGATCAGCGAACCCATGACATTGTTAAACTGGCAGAGATTGATATTAATTTATTAAAACTATCTTCACAATTATGTAAAAAGCGAAGTTATTTGCAAGAAACAGTTAGCCTAAGTAATAGTGTTTCACAAAATTTTCTTGTCAAACATTCAAATGAATCTGCCCTAGCAATTTACCTTGAGAACGATTACAGTAAAAAAAAATATCAAAACTTACGTAAAGAAACAACATCACAAAACGTTTTCATTCATCAGAAGTACGTTAAAATCCGTAAAGCGATGCTTAAATGTTTGCCTGAAGATAGCACTGTGTCTGAAAATGAAGCTGTAGTTCCTTTGCAAAGTCTGCTCAACAAGACTGTTGAGCGTCTGTGTCAGGTTGTTGCACTCGATTGTGAGGAAAAAGATCTGGACAAATTAGTGCTATTTGTAACTGGAGGATTTGACAGATCTGCTGACCATACTTATGCACATAAGTAGTGCGATAACCCTGAAGATAAAATACACAACAGCGAATTGTCATCGGTTAATACTAATCGATTTATGTAGTAAACTAAATGCAGATTCATAATTCAATCAAACATTTGTACTTTTTTTGAGTTCTTATTGAAAAAACTAAGGGTGGATGAGATTTATAATTCTAAGAAAAAAAAAAAAATTGAAATAAAAGTCAAGTCCGTAACCATTTTGTAGTAACAGAGAGCTAATAACTTAAAAATTCGTACATTTACATATTAAAAAGTTACATATTGTAACATGTTGAAAAGTTATCGTGTAATTTCATGCTTGAAAGACTATGTTAGTTAATACTTTCGTAGATAGAAGTTTGTGGCTGAATCCCACACCACAAAGTGTTAGATTTTGTCAGCCGTCTGAATTGCCATAGAAAAAGGAGATGAAGACACAATTACCAAAAAATTTCAAAGATTAAGAAACAAAATGTCAAATTCTTAAACAAATTCCTTTACTCTTTTGATCAAGAAAAAGGTCTGAGCAAAGTTCGAAATATTTTTGACAATGTCTGATAATGCAATCGTTGGAAATCCAGCAATAAGTAGATATCCCATTTGCTTGTGCTTTAGCCATTAATTTGGAGATAAGACAAACAAGTTCTTACCAAAGACCGCAGCATCAGAGTACGGAATCGGCTAGCTTTATTATAACATCAAGTGCTTTGAACATTGAGTACATACAGTCTACAGAAGTACGATTAGACTACCTACGTGAAATGTTCGATTCTAGAGAATAAAGGTTTGTATAATTATACGGTATATATTATTCGAATCAGCATTTCGTGTGCATAGTACGGTTCTTAAATAAGCAAACTATTTGGTGGGAGATTAACAAAATATCTCATCAAAATCCAATTTAGTACAACTACTCAAAGAATTTTCTTGTAGCACACATGGAAACGTTAAGAAAAGTTTTTTTTATCAAAAACAGAATGATTTTTTAGGTTAATACTTTGGTACGATTGTATTATTAGATAAATAAAAAGATCCATTGTAATTCTAAGTGTGTTGTTACAACGGTCATTATTTACTACACTTAAAGTTGCTCTTTGAATTAAAATGAGGATAAAAAATTGACCCATATTACTATGAATTACAACAAACTCACATAGATTGATTAAAAGTAGAAGCATTTTTTTAAGTCAAGTCGTAGTTTTTGTTTGAAATGAAAAAATAAGATATCCTATAAAAGAATAAGACTTCAATCATTATAGTGTATTAAAAAAATCTACATATAGTATTTATTTTTATTTTCGTGAATTGACTAGACAATGCATAAATCTAATAATATTACGTATTTCTACTTAGCTATAAGCGCAATACGATATAAAAGTCTGATTTCATTGAATTGTTGTATAGCCGGCTTAGAATTATTTCCGGTATAGCTATTAAATATTCAAGAAGCATATGTACATGCATTAAAAAGTAAAAGATAATTTTATTAGTATAAGTTTCTGTATTATAATAATTGCTTTTTTGTAAAAGAATTTTTAAAAAAAAAGAAGGTGATTCAAAAACGAATATACAAACGCTTTGGTGTTCGCGTTGATAAAGTGAAGCAATATTCTGGAACCATTAATACTAGGAATTCAGTACAAACATGTTTTGATGTTCCAAATGATTTTGCAAAGTTACTAGAGATAGACGAATAGTTAGTTAAAAATATTACACTAATATAATCGTTGTTTCATTCGGAAAATGGAGTGGATCTAGAAAAGTTAAAGAAGCTGTGCTAAGATACATACGAACGACACAACGATAAATATAAGTGGGTTTACATGAGCCCAAGTATTCATACGTTATTAATGTATGGCTGTGCAGTTGCAAGAAAATTACCTTTGCCATTAATTTATTTTTCTAAGGATGCTCAGAAAGGATGGCACAAAATCTATCGAAAAAACTTTATATTACACGCTAGACAAAGCAGCCAAAAGGAGAAGCTGCAGGATATATTTAATAAATTACTAAGTATGAGTGACCCCAAATTTTGTTTGTACAACATAAGCGACTGGATCAAGTAGCATAAGACCAAACAATTGAGAAAAGATGCTGAAAATAACTTAAAAAATAAGGAGGTAAGGCTGAAAAAAACCTTTCTTTTTTATTATTAGGACATCAACAAACTTATGTTTAATGACAGTTTTTGATAAGTTGCTTTAATAATTTACTTGTTTATTAGAATTAATTAAACAATACATAATCGCCTACAAAATCATTCTCATTAGTATCTGGAACAGTAATTATAATTTGAATAAGCTTTAACATGCCCAAATGCAACTACATCATTTTTTATATTGCTTTACTATTACTAATTGTTGAACGTACATTGTGAAAGGATTATGCATTGAATACTGTAAACTTTTATACCACGCAATCTAACATTAACATAACATATATTTTTTACTTTATGAGAAAGGTATGAGCTTTTGTAATAAAGCAGTTTTAGCCAACAAACATTATGGTAAATCAGTTGCCACATTAAATAAGATAGATCTTGCAACTTGCTATAAAAGACACAAGTGATTTAAGTATCAAATACGATTGATAAAACATGCTTTAAATAGAAAAATACGAACAAAATGAGTATATTTTTGTAAATTTTTCTTGCAGATAAATAATCAATGATGAGTTTGTAAATATCACTAAAAAAAAAAAGAAAGGGTGAGGACGTTTTTAACGTAAGCAAGGATAGAGATAGTTATTGGTTTTAGTCAGAAGCTTATTCTGTTAGCAATGATAAAGAACAATCTGAATAAAATGATTTACAATTTTTTACAAATAAAAAAGGTGTTATACATATAGCTGTGTATTTTAAAAACCAACTTAAATAAAATGTAAGCATCCTTTTGTTAAATACGTTTTATCCTATAATTTCCAGACTTAAGAGGCTATCCCCTAATTAGTATCACTTATTTGGCTGAAATATTTATGAAAAAAAATTCATACCAAAAAAGTTTGTATCATGAAGACTTTTCAATTAAATAATTATTTCTTCTGACTTTCATCAGAGTTGTAACTTTAACAACTCTTAAGCTGTTTATAAAAATAAGACAGCATTTACTTTTGGTTAAATAATAAAAAAAAACTGTTTGAATCTTTCATTTCCAGACCATTTTTCAGTGTAACTGGTACGTATACAAAAATCGAAAATTGATAAATTATTAACTTTTAAGTTTTTAATTTATCTAATGGCTGTTCGATGTCAATAAATTTCAGAAATTTTTTTTCTCATTAAACAAGCAGTTAAAGCATTGGTTAAACAGACAGTTATTTATGAATGTCTCTTTTTAAGTATCTTACTTTTGGTTTTTCCTGTATTGGTTAAATCTGATTGGATGTACTACATGAATATTCCGTAAACATAAATTTAATATCTCCTTTTTTCGTAGAAAATAGTTATTCCTTGTGATTATAACAATACACTTAAATAAAGATTTGAAATGGGGTCCTTTAAAAATCTTTAATGGTTATTATCCTCCTTTATGTCTTTGTTTTATAATTAATTCTGCATATTGTGTAATAATGTAGAGATATGGCTAACTTAGACCAATAAATTACTTTTTGCTCTAGATTCTTCAAAATCATAGAAATATATTTAAAATGTGAGAAAAGTGTTCTCACTTTTATCGATGTTAGGGATTGTTTTTACCCTGTTATCATATTTTAAATAATCTAAACGTAAATTAAAATAATATTTATGTTGACTTCATAGTAATAACTAAGCGAAACATTTTGAATTATATTTCTGATATTTGTCAATGAAAACTATAATTCAAGATTGCAAATTATTATTCTAATTTCATATTATAATATTTTCATAAGATTGTTTTTACCCGCTTACTCCATTTTCACTCCAAGCGAGTGTACATGACTCAAACGAACATACGCCTTGTTTACTTAGCTAAATAATTTATTTTTCATACGGTTTCCATAAAATATTAGCCCGTTCAAGGATTTTTATAACTTCTTTCACCATACTTACATTATGCATTGTGTGTACTATAACACAGTTCCAGTCTTCTTATTAAATTTTAATAGATTTTTAATGATAACAGTAAAAAACGTAGTTTTTAAATAAAATATTCCGAATTTCATTAACTCTGAGGATTCTTTTAACTCCTGAAAACATACCTATACTATTAATTTTGTGTATCGTAATACACTTTTCGTCACTTTAATGAACTTCTATAGATTTTGAACGATTGTCGTTAAAAACGTCAATTTGAAATAAAATATTTTAAATTTTAGTAACTTCAAAGGTTGTTTTAGCATTGTGTGTTGCGTACCACACTTTTTTTTCGTTCAATAAATTTCTAGAGATTTATAACAATTATAGTGAAAAATGTCAATTCACAATAGTTTTTTTTCATTTTATTAATTTTAAGGGTTGTTTTAACACACTACATCATACTTACACTACCTATTTTGTATTCAGTATAACATTAATTTTTTTTTTAATGAATTTTTTGCGATTTATAACAATTATAGTAAAGAATGTCAGTTTTAAATAATATTTTTAATATTTTGTCATCTTTACGGGTTGTTTTCACCCTCTTGAAGGGGATGTTTGGAATCTAGACAACTTTTCCTACATTCCGTGTAAAATAAGCTGTTAGATAAAAAAAAGACCATCAAGGTTGTTTAATTTGCCTTGGAGATATTTTATTTCCGGAAAAAAAATCCGTTTTATCTTACTGTGCGCCACTGCACATGGCCCACGCGAGTGTACAACATGACTTTTGCAACTCATCGTTTCGGTCTTAAAACGTTTATTAAAAAATTATTAAAACCCATACTCCAACGTTTTTCTTAGTTTTCTGGCAAAAGTATTTATTTTTTTTTAATTTTGCCTCCATAGTTTAAAAATATTTAAAAGTTCAAAAAACACAATATATCTTTATGATCTTCAAGTTTTGGCAATTTTTAGACTATCTACATCGAATGATGAGGCTTTTTTACGTAGATATC